TGCCCCTGCTCTCTCCACAGCTCTGTGAGAAACAAGGGCCGGTTGTCCCAGCTGAGCACGGCGGCAAACTAGACACTTGGCCACTTTTAAAACGCCAGGGCAGCTGGGACGGGGCTTTAAAAAAGAAGCTTCCTTGGCCAAAACAAGACCCATGGGCCCCTATTGTAAGTGCAGGGGGTTGGGGTGCTGATCTCGTGTCTCTTGGCTGTCAGGACAGAAGAGGAGCTGGCAGCTAAAACTCTTCAGCGAGCTTGGTGGAGTCACATCGACAGGAGGCTGTTCAGGCTGCTAACACAGACCATTCGGGCCGCGGTATGCTCCTCTGGAAAAGCCTTTCCCCTCCTGGCTGTAAACTACCCACGACAAGGACATTGATACAGAGGGACACTTACCCACACAACTTTGCTTTGCTACTGATGCAGTTACTCTTCTAGGGGGACCTTCTTCTTCTGGAATGAGCTCAGAACCCACTGTAAACCAAATAGGGCTGTGGTTCTCAACTGGTGGTCCACAGGAACATTGTCCAAAGTCACACTGTGTGAGCAGGCGCCACCATTAGTATGGTTTACGCTGTGTTCACAAGCATGTGGCGCATCATCCATAGTGTCACCTAGGACGCAACCGCGTTGTGTTGCTGGTAACGTCCATCTGAAGTTCTGAGCATCAGTGTAGCTGCCGCCGTTGTGCTGAGCAGTTTCTGTGTCATTTGTCCTGTGCTTCATGTGCTGGAGGTGGTTCGTGAACATTTTTTGATTGGCCTGGTGGTTCGTGGACTGAAACGAGTTGAGAACCACTGAAATAGGGGGAAGGGAAAGACCCCTCAAGGAATTACACTGGTATAACTTGTGATACAGTAAACTGGTATTTTTTAACACCCCTGAGCCAGAAAGTTACAATGACATAAAGTGCCAGTGTAGACTTGGCCGTGGACTGCTCTGCACATTCTTTGCTCTCATAAGTCTGTCACTGAGCACAGAAAATATTGGAGTGGAATCAGAATTTTTTTCCCCTTGTTCAGTAATGTCTCTGGGGTAAAGCGAGAGATTGATGATCGTTTAAGAGCAAAGGAACGACAGATAGAGAAGGAAAAAAGAGAGCACTTACCTAGACAGTTTGGGGGGTGGGGTTGAGTAAAAGAGAGGAGCTAAAATTGTATGCAAGATATTTCCTAATGTTTGTTGTTTTTATTGAAAACAACCTTGTTTTTGTTTTATGTAGTGCAAAGCTGAGAAAATAAAACTTATAAAATTGGAAAAGGAGGGCAAAAAGATAAGAATTTCAGTAAAGAATAATGGGGTAAAAGAATAAAATGAGTCATAAAAAGAAACAACAAATATCGCAGTTCTATAGTAATTGCTATCTAAGAACATCAGAGCATCTTAAAATATTAACACTCAGCTCCTATGTGAAACAGGTTTGGAATGTATTATAAGAACCCAAACCGCTCAATTTTTTTTGAATAATGTCTGTATCTGTTTCAGGAGTATTGTATTACATATGAAATTGTGAGGAGAGTGAGTCCTTTAGAAGCTGAACTTATAAAAGATCCTAGTATGCAGTGTAAAGTCAGATTCAGGTAAAGTATGCATATTTATTTCAACCCAGCATACAGGATGACTTTTAAAGTTAACCAAAAAAGTGTCATTAGTTGTTTGTATTACAGCATTACACTTAGGTTTTGTCTACACTTTAAAGTTTAAAGTGCTGTTGCAACAGCACTTTAAACTTTAAAGTGTAGACAAAACCTAAGTGTAATGCTGTAATACAAACAACTAATGACACTTTTTTGGTTAACTTTAAAAGTCATCCTGTATGCTGGGTTGAAATAAATATGCATACTTTACCTGAATCTGACTTTACACTGCATACTAGGATCTTTTATAAGTTCAGCTTCTAAAGGACTCACTCTCCTCACAATTTCATATGTAATACAATACTCCTGAAACAGATAACATTCCTAAAGACATTTAATTTAGAAATTATTTCTGCACCACACCACATCACTATTTTTTGCTATTTTTCTTTTCTACAACACTCCAGATATACACTAATTGTTATTTTTAAACATTCAAATAACACTTTGGAAATAAGTCATGTCCTCTGTGGAAATTAACATTTGAGGAAGCTGGTGATATTTGCAATTTCCACTACTCCCTCCATGGCTTCAGGAAGAGGAGAACAGCTTTAAACTGCAATCAGACTTTCACAGAGAGCCTTTCCTTAGTGGAGCCTGACCATGTGATGAGCTGAATCAGCATATTCACAAGCTACATTGCTCAAGTCCTTTCTTTTGCTAGTCTGCATTAACCAAATACAGATGCCTCAGCAAAGGGGTGTGGAGATAGCATGCATTTCTGCAACTGCCATGTCCTCTGGACGGAGTTACCGCTTCCAAGTGCCCCCTACGAAATCTGAATTTTGTATGGTTTATTCAGTGTGTGATCAGTCAAACAAATGCATTTGATTTGAGTTTGTCCTTTCAACAAAAGAAATTAAATGCTAAATGCAAATAGCCATGTTCAACATTTAAATATTTTTTAAAAAGAATTCTAGTGTTTTACTATTTGTAAACTGTGACCGCACTTCAATTATCTTATTTCATTTTGGCAGGAATTAAGATTCCAGTCCTGAAGTTTACAACACATAAATGGTCTGACTAGGGTTGCCAGGCATCCAGTTTTCTACCAGAATGCCTGGTCAAAACAGGATCGTGTTGGCTCTAGTCAGCGCAGCTGACTGGACCACTAAAATATGGTCAGATGCAACAAGGCAGGCAGGCTCCATGTCGGTAACTGCACCTAATGGGAGTTCTGGGGGCTGCAGCTACTGGAGATGGGGACACCACACAGAGCCCCCTGGCCGCTCCTTGGCCTAGGAGGCAGAGGCATATGTCACTGCTTCCCTGGGATCAACTGAGATCAGCACCGTCCAGAAGCAACACTCCCTCCTGCACCGCAATCTCCTGCTTCAGTCTTGAGCTCCCTCCCACACCCTAAACCCCTCATCCCTGGCCCTACCCCACAGCACATACCCCAGCCAGAGCTCACATCCCCCACACCTCAGTCCCTTACCCCAGCTTGGAGCCTCCTCCCACATTTGGAACTCCTCATTTTTTGGGCCACCCCAGAGCTTACTCCCATAGCCCCTCCTACATCCCAACTCCCTATCCTAACCCGGAGTAACCAGAGAAAGTTAACATTTTCTTACCCTCAAGAACAGTGCCCTTTGCAGAGCACATTGCGAACCCCTCAGCTCCACCCCCACGTTTGTGTGTCCTCTTGTACCTCAACCCCTCATTCCTGGCCCCACTCCAGTGTGTGCACCCCCAGCCAGAGCCCTCATCCCTTCCCACACCCTAGCCTGGAGCCCCCTTCTGCACTCAGAACCCGATGGCCCCACCTCCACCCCAGAGTCTATACCCCCAGCTGGAGCCTGCACCCCTTCCTGCACCTCAGCCCCCTGTGCCAGCCTGGTGAAAGTGAGCAAGGGTATGTGGGATAAGAAGTGATGGGGGGGATGGGATGGAGTCAGTGGGGATGAGGCCTCAGTAAAGGGGCTGGCAAGGGCGTCCTCGATCTGCAATTAGAAAGTTGGCAACCCAAGTTCTGATCCTGTACTGTAAAATGACAGATTGAGTCCTTGCTTTGTAATTCTATAATAAAATTCCTTCCGAGTGTCTCAAATCTTGCTCCATTCAAGTCAAAGAGAGTTTGTCAGGCCAGGACTTCCAGAAACAAGATCTAATTTTAGATTCTTAAATCCCCATTTAGCCACTTAAATATGTGACCAGGTTTTCAGAGTTCAGAACACTCTGCAGCTTCCATGAGTCACTAAGAAACCTGCATGTAGATTTAGGTAGCTAACTTTATTCCTTTTTAAAAAAAGGTAAAAAAGATGTTCTTTGGCTTTTGATCAAACATTTAGCATGAATGTACAAATTCTATTTATTTTGACAACAGTTGTTCCTGTTATTAGTTTGGAAGAGATTCTGGGGATTTTTTAAAACATATTGGTCTGTTTTAAATGTATCTAGAGAATTGAATGCAGCTAATGCATGCTTTACAAAAACACTGGGGTCATTTTCTTTTCACAAAATAGATATGACACGATTCATCTTCACACATTAGATTGCCTCATGAATGTGGGCAGCTCCAGTATGTTGGATACAAAATAAAAATTACATATCATGGTTTTGTATTTCCATACTGTCTGAAATGCAGGATTGTGAGTTTTTCTTCCTTAATTTTTATCACATCTCATTTCCTAGCTTTTCAATATTTTTTCAAGTCTTATCTGTCAAGTTTTCTCCACTTCTTAAATTACTGATATATATATATTTCCAATCTTACCTAACCCTAACAACATTTTTGTCTTTATGTATATTTACTATAAATGAATTCAGGTCTGAGTTTCCCCAGCGTAACCTAGGCTGCAAAGCCCCACTCTCCCTGAAGGGAGTTACAATAGTGCAGGTCACCACAGCAACTGTGTGCTGGCAATCATGTTTAAATTTTATAATTTGGGTTTTGTTTTTTTATCCCTACAGTTTTTAGAGGATGGTTTGAAATCTTGAGTGTTTAACTAAGAGTTATCTCTTCCAGTTTAAACAATAAGGGATCTGATCTTTATGGTGTCAGTTAACTTTGTTTGTTGTTTCTTTAGATTTGCTGGTCATAAGTTTCCACCTTTCATTGTATTTAAGATTTTTCGCCATACTGGAGGCCAAGGCAGCAAGTACCTAAGTGGAAAAAGAACAATAAGTCCAGCAAGTGAGGTGACTTACTAGATGTTTATATATGATTTTTTCTTCACTTACTACATTTAATCTATACCTTGTCTCTGAACTTTATTTTGCAAAATCTTATAACATCTTTATCCTCAGTCACACACATGTCCAATTCTAATAAGTAGCCGCTTCATTCGTTACACAATATTGTTTTATATTTTCAGGATAGTATATAAAACTCTTTGTACATCAAAGTCAATATTCTTTTTGGAATTAATTTTTTTCTAGGAAAGTTAGTCATCATAGACACTGTTCTGTATAACTGTTCTTACAATTATTTTGAAGTTCAAATCTGCCTTTATTTAAATAGACACTAAAACTGTACTTTTAGGCCCCTAAAATTAGTCACATCAAAAGATTTGTTTTTTATAAGTTTGCTGAACTCCTTTAACCATGTTCTTTTGAGAGGTTATCCTTGCAGTGTTGATGAAGGTAAAAACAAAACCTTAACTTCTAATACACTGAACAATAAATTCTATTTGATATAATTTCCTGTACAATGCTCATCTCTAGTATAAGTGCCAATAAAGATATACTGTGTACATTTAGATTATAAGGTCTTTGGGGTGTGGATCTCCTTTTGTTCTGCATTTGAAAACAGATTAGCATGGTGGGGCCCTGGTCCATGATGGTATTGCAGTAATACAAATAATAAGTTGTTTTTCTTCAAGCATAGAAGCAAATCCATACTCTAGTATTTGTTATTCCTGTAATATAAGCAGCAAAAAATATTTTGGACCAAAACCAGACGAATCTTTTCGAAATTGTGTGGTGAAGCTTGGTTTTCAGGTTGGATTTCTGAAGGCACATACTAGTGTGTTTTCCCCCTTTCAAATGGCTTAGTCCTTATTTACTGTATTGTCTTGAGTAAAAGAGGTTTTAAATCACTACCAGAAAAATGGGGTATGGCCATTGATCAATTCAATTATTTTTTATTTATAATAATTTTACCTCTCAACTTCTTTACTACCAAGAGGGCCTAGTAATTATAGATATAAACCATTGAAATACAGACATTTCTGTATGAGAGGGCAATAGGCAATTAGTACTCTATTGCGAGAGGGGAGAGATGGAATGATCAGGGTATCCCGTGGCAATGAGAAAATCCACTCAACATACGTACTATAACATCACTCAATGTTGGGAGTTCACACAAAAAAAATGTTTTTAAAAAATGAAAAACAAAGTCATGCCAAGTGAAGTAAAAACATTTTTTCACGGGAAGGCTGTGGGATATTTTCTATGTTAAAGTACTAGTGTCTATTCCAAACTACTAATGTGTAAAAGCAGTTTGAAAAAGTTATCAGCATTTAGAAGAATCAATTTTTTTTTACACTGCCAAAGTGTTTTTTATATTTAACGGGCCATATCCTAATCTGATATGTCATACCTCCATTGACTTTAAATCAATCAATCTATCTATCTATTTGTCCTTTGGGCTCCTAATGGAGCATAGGGCCTCCACAGTCATTCTCCATCTTTTGTGAGCCTTAGCGATAGTCTCGATTTGATCCCATGTTAAGCTAGCTGCTTTTACTTTGTCCAGGAAGCTTTATCGCCATGTTTGTTTGGGACATCCCCTTTTCCTCTTCCCTTTGGATTCCATTCTAACGTTTGTCTCATGATACATTCTTCAAGTCCTTACGTTTATGCAGGAGGTGGCCTACCCATCGCCATTTTCTCTTCTTAATCTGGACCTCCATTGGTTTCTGATTTGTTTTGGTCCACAAGGTTTCATTTGGCATTCTATCATACCACTTTAGCTGGATAATGCGTCTAAGGCATTTATTGACAAACGTCTGAATTCTCTTAGTGTTGCCCTGGACAACACGCCACGCCTCCGAGCTATGCAGCAGCACAGATTTCACATTAGAAGTGAAAATGCGTAGTTTGGTTCTCATTGAAATGGCTCATGTACCCCAGACTGGTCATAGTATGGTAAAGGCTTGTTGTGCCTTTCGCGTTCTCACACTGATATCCTCTTCAATTCCCCCATTCTTGCTGATAAGACTCCCCAAGTATATAAACTGGTCAACCTCTTGCATTGCTTTTCCTTCAATTGTAATTTCATCTTCCTGTCTGTTGTTAATGTGCATCAACTTGGTCTTCTCTTGACTAATCTTAAGGCCCACTCGCTCAGCTGTTTCCTGTAGGGCATCCGTCTTCTCTTGTACACGCTCTAGTTTATCTGCAAGCAGGGCTAAGTCATTGGCAAACTCTAGACCTTCAAGTTTCCTAGTTTGAGTCCATTGGACTCCCCTTCCTGAGTCAGTATATGCTGTTTTTGTGACCCAGTCTAGGACAATCAGAAAGAGTAATGGAGAAAGAAGGCAGCCTTGGCGTACACCTGTAGTGACCTGGAATTTTTCTGATAATTTTCCATCATGGATGACTTGGCAGGAGTATTCTTCATACAGTTTCCTGATTATGGTAATCAGTTTGCCTGGAACTCCGTAATGTTGCATGATGGTCCAGATGGACTGCTTGTCCACACTGACGAAGGCTTTCATAAAGTCTATGAAGTTGATGTAGAGTGGTGCTTGCCATTCAATGCATTGTTCTACGATGATCTGAAGTGTTACTATCTGGTCTGTGCAAGATTGTCCTCTCCTAAAACTTGCCTGTTCTTCTTGTAGTTTGTGGTCTTTGGAATCTTTCATTTGTTCTAGGATGACTCTGATTAATACTTTGCTTGGGATGGACATGAGGATAATCCCCCTCCACTTTTCACACAGTGACAGATCACCGGATTTAGGGAGTTTCACTAACAGCCCTTTTCTCCAATTCTTTGGAATCTCTTCTGTTGTCCATATCAGATTTAGCAAACTGTGTAGCTTGTCCACTATAGCAGCTCCTCCTTCTTTTAATACTTCAGGCGGAATATTATCAGGTTTTGCTGCCTTGCCATTCTTTAGGTTCCTTATTGCCTTGTACAACAGCATTCTTGGACCATTCTTTTGTAATTGCCCCAGTGTTAATGTCTAGGGGTTCTCCTGCTTCTAGCTGTGGTGAATTTGTTGGTGGTGATCTGTTTAACACTTCTTCAAAATGCTCCTTCCATTTGGCTAGCTGCTCACCCACTGTGGTAAGTAGCTGACCATCTTTGTTTTTGACTGGTTTGTTTGGGTTTCTCTTCCTTCTGCTCAAGACTAGAGTTGTATTATACAGGGTTTTCAAGTCCCCTTGTTTAGATGCTGCCTCTACTTTTTTCTGCAGTCTCATCTATGAAATTTCTCTTATCCCTACGGGCACTTTTCGTTACTTCCTCAGTGATTTCATGGTATCTGGATGATGCAGCTTGTTTCTGGCCTCTTGTTTTTGCTTGGTTGACTTGTTGTTTGAGTGCCTTTCATTCTTTTATCATTCTCATGTCTGATCTGTGATCCATTCTTTCTGGAATAGTGCTATGAAAATTATACAAGGTGAAGATGTGGACCAAATCAGTCCTTCTGAATCAGTTCTAAACAGAGTCTCAAACAAACAAATATCACCATTAGGCAAAAATCAGACTTGATAAGTTTCAGCCACAAAGATGAAGGTTTTTAAAAAGCTAGTAAAGACCCTAACTGTAGTGCTTGTTACCCACTCCAGCAATAATACTGTCAGAGGGAGGCAAATTAAATGGTCACTGTAAAAGCTTACATGAATGAAATAAGAATGATTAGGAGGCTGAATAATTAACTTTTAATTTTCCATCAAAAATGTAAATCCTAGATTAGTTACTTGATGCATCTGGGGGAAGCAGCCATGTCACTAAAGCATTATTTTCAAATTTGCAACTGAATTGTTTCACCATTATGCGGACCACTATTTTCTCATTATTTACTTGTATTCTATTTGTTGTCTCTTGTCTTATGCTTAAACTGTAAGTTGTCTGGGGCAAGGATTGTCTTGTCTATTTGTACAGCACTTGACACAGCATTCTTGCACCATGACTAGAATTTCTACATAGTACAAGTATATAAATAATAGTATTTATTATGCAGAGTGGACAATCCATCTCCAGTCATTGTGAGCTTTCTGAGTACAAACCAGAATGCCTTATTTAATTTTTTGTTGAGTACTGGTATTTCAGTAGCATTAAAACTTTTTCCTGAGATGAAGTGTGAGGACTTTAGTGTGTGCGTGCACGGTTTTGTTTTGTAGTTACAGTATATTTCCTGGGTTTTTTAGGCAGCAGTTGATGCTTGCAAGTTGATGGGACATCGGAAATATTATGATCAAATGATATGGGATGAACTTCAGTACCAAAACCACAAAATAATAGATGAAACAGATGTTGCTACAGTGAAAGATTACATGCAAGTAAGAAATGTTTTCAAATATTTTCTTACAGGTTTTAATAATAAAAATAAAACCCTTCTGGGAGGAAAAAGTCACTCTGATCATGTCTATAATTGGAAGATGAAAATGTAAGGATCCAATTCTTAACTGCTTACAACTTGTGCAGTCATTAACATCAGCTCAAAATGAGTGTAAAAGGTACATAAAACACTACTCTGTGAGCACAGAAATTTGATTTAGTAGTGTTTTACATCCATCTTGCATAGATGTGAATGAATCTGAGATTCATCCAAGACACTGCGGAATGAAACTCTAGGATTGTGTTTCTCTGACACCCCAGAGAAATTATTAAATTGTCTGGATTAGATCCTATAATATGTATCGTCAGGGTTACACAAGGATGGTAAAAATCATCCTCTGATAACAGATACTCTGATACTCTTTAAATGGAATAAGTGAGAAGTGATTTTGATGGAATTACGTCTGATTTACAGTGATATAAGTGAGAGAAAAATTATCACCAAGACTTGCTGATGTTTTAGTGCAGCGAAACCTTTTCTGGTTAATTGTTGTTTTATAAAAATTTAGAGCCAAATCCTGGAGGATTGGCTATATACCACTCAGATGTAGGAAGGATGGTAGCACATAAAGATGTTAAACAATACTTTAATTTCAATTAATTATTGGTGGTTCTAGAACAGTGAAGGATATTCACACTGATATTGTGCATAAGCATATTTTTGTGATCAGTTTAAATTTAGTGATTCTGTTGTAATTGTATATATTTTTATGTAATAGGGGTAGATAGATCCAGAGAATAGATGTCATTGTATTATAGAAATTTTAAAGCAGAGTAGGTCATTTCTGGGGTTCCAACTGTTTGATTTATTCTGAATAAGGTTTTCTTTAATGTGCAAGCTCATCATCAAAATGATTGAGGATGAGAACATATGAATGGGGGAGACTTTGATTTGTACTGAGATTCCATTAGGTTTTGAGCAAGCATTTATTTATTATTATTTTGTGGCCTTATAGTATATCAGTAACCTGGATGAGACCCCAGCATACTTTGGTGGCAGAGACAACCGCTGGAGAAAATTATCTCTGGAAAACTTTCCCAAAACAATGATAATGTATGACATAATGGATTATGCACAGTCTGGGACATTGTCAAACCGACTTAAGGAGAAACTGACATTTCTGCTCCTGAGGCCACAGAATGAAGAGACACGGCATGATCAACTCATGACTGTTTCTCAAGTCAGGTAAAAAGTCCCAACAACTTATCCATAATAAGCTTAATTTTTTATTTTTAATTTCTATCCTTTGTTTTATTGTAAGGATCTCAAAATACTTATTGTTTACAAAACAGCAGTGACAGTGGTAAAATTACCCATTTGTAAAATGGGGATAAATTAGCACAGAGGAATTCTGTGACTTGCCAAAGTTCATACACAAAATCAGTACAGAGTCAAGAGTAGAACCCAGGAGTTACTCGTAGTCCTTTGCATTATCAGCTAAATAATATTGTCTTGCAGATGGTCCAACAACATTTTAATTTTTTTGTAGAAAAAGGTCTGCATGATCATTTCCTGGCAATATAACAAGTACGTGCCACAAATCTCCACCTATAGAAGAGAAAAATTGGATTTTGCTTTATATATTGGATTTTGCTTTAAAATTACCGATAACATTTTTTAACTTCCACCATCAGTGTGTTTCTCACTAACACATGCTGGGAAATATTTGGTGTCAATATCAAGTGTCTTGATATACTCTTTTAAATCACAAATCTACTTGGTTTTAAGAGGCCTTAATCCAAATCTTTTCTCTAAGGGTGTGTCTAGACTACCTAGTTTTGTCGACAAAAGTGGACTTTTGTCGACAAAACAATACCAGCATCTACACTACCGCGGAGTTCTGTCGACATAACGTCGACAGAACTCCGCGGTTTTGTCGACGCTGGTATACCTCATTTTACGAGGCATAACACTTTCTGTCGACAGAACTCTGTCGACAGAAGGTGTTATTGCCTGTAACACTGCGTCCAGACTACGGAGTTCTGTCGACAAAGCGGCTTGCTTTGTCGACAGAACTCCATGTGTCTGGACGCAAATTGTCGACGGAAGTTTTGTCGACAGTATCTGTCGACAAAACTTCCATCGACAAAACGCGGTAGTCTAGACGTACCCTAAGTATGTTCGCTGCAATGGAAAACATAACACTGAGTCATGTCATTCTTATTTTGATTGCCAGCACATCTTTTTATGAATTTATTTTTCTGGTCTTTTTAAAAGTAAGCTGACTTTTTCAGCTTTTTTTCATTAAAGGATTACTGTCAGATTTGTCAGGAATCTTCCTGTCTCCTATAAAAGTTACATTGTTGGCTATTACTGTATTGACAGCCATCAAGTATGAAGTCACCTGTTCAACCAGTAGTTTACAGCATAGGTATAGGCAGTGATCATGTGAATTGCCCTCTGATTCCCTCACTGATCTCAGTGTTTCAAAGGAATGAGATCTACTATGTGAAATAGTAGTTGGATTTTTATTCCCATTCAACTGTGATTTCTGTTATGTTGTGGCAGCACCCAGAATGCTTAGCTGCTTTCCCCGAACACGGAGGATGACAGTCTCTGCAATGCAGAGTTTATAATCTAAAATTATATAGGTAGATGAAGGGTGAAAGTAATCCACCTGATGAGACACACATCTAATTAGTTATACTTTGTCTAGTTAAATGCATTCAATTGTTGCCATCTCATCTCCTTATCTTTCCTCCACAGCAATCCCCAGCTTTAATTCGTGAACTCTTATGTCATTCCCTTGCTACAAACAACCCCTTTCCTTTGCATAATAGTATAGCATACTTATAAGGATTGTCAATGCTACTAGGAGAGATGTGTCAGTTACTGCCACAACTGGTAATTTTCCAGTGTGATCATCTCTTCACTAATAATTGGAATGAAATCACATATCCCATTGATCAACTTTGATTGTGACAACAGGTAACCATGCAGTTCAACTCCTTGCGAAGGTTAACAGATTCTTTTGTCTGTATGGCCTCACAGTTCAGAGCATGGGGCTGTGAATTGCAACGTGCACCAATGTGTTGTGACTTCCCCCATGTGGATGCTGGTGGTGCAAACTAAAAGTTATCTAGTCTCAAAGGTACCTACGTTTGGGCTTTTTTTTGGGCAGATACAGCCTAACAAACCCACAAACACAAAAAAAGGAGTCCTGTGGCACCTGAGAGACTAACAGATTCATTTGGACAAACTTTTGTGGGAAAAACCCACTTTATCAGGTGATATAGAGTGGAAGCTACAGAAGCAGGGGTATATACAAGGAAGAAATTACTTGTGTTAATGAAGCTAATCAAGTCAGGGTGGAAGTAGGTCACACACATCTCCACACCAAATGCTGTGAATTGGGTAGGTCTACACTGCAGAGAGAAACCCACCGTACCAATTCTCAGAATCTTGGTCAATTGACTCAGGCATGCAGGGCTTTTGTTGTCTGGCTAAAAGAAGCAGGGGTATATACAAGGAAGAAATTACTTGTGTTAATGAAGCTAATCAAGTCAGGGTGGAAGTAGGTCACACACATCTCCACACCAAATGCTGTGAATTGGGTAGGTCTACACTGCAGAGAGAAACCCACCGTACCAATTCTCAGAATCTTGGTCAATTGACTCAGGCATGCAGGGCTTTTGTTGTCTGGCTAAAAAT